AAAAAAAAAAAAGAAAAACCAACAACAACAACATGAAATTTGGTTCTTGTATTACTTTGTGAGTTCGCAGGTTTGGTCACTTTTTCTGTTGAGTCAAAAATACAGAAACATGAATTAGGAATTTTGGTGACTTCGAAAGCTGTGTAATGTCACTTGGAGCAATTTCCAAGGAGCCGCAGGTCCCAAGAGCAACAGTGCTAACAAATGTAAGTATAAAGTGCATTATTACACTGTTTTGTCATTGCCACGATCAGGTAGAAAATGCAACCTATCACCTGCTGCTGCGAAAAAACTGGTCCAGAGGTTGAAGAGTCAACCGAGAACCACCAAAAGGCAGATCTGCCAAGAATTAGAAGCTGCTGGAACACAGGTGTCAGTTTCCTCAGTCAAGTGTGTTTTGCATCGCCTTGAACAGAGAGCCTGCTGTGCAAGAAGAAAGCCCTCCCCCCAAAAGCGGCACCTTAAGGCTCGGCTGAAGTTTGCTATTGATCACATAGACAAAGAAAAGAACTTTTGGAGAAAGTTCTGTGGTCAGACGAACCAGAAATTGAGCTTTTTAACCGCAACGCCTAGCAATATGTTTGGGGAAGAATCGGTGAGGCCTTTAAGGCCAGGAACACTATGCCTAATGTGAAGCACGGTGGTTTAAGTATTATGCTGTGGTGCTGTCACTGGAACTGGTGCTTTAAAAATACTAAATTGAATAATAAAGGAGGAGGATTACCTTCTTCAAAATACGATAACCTAAAATCATCAGCCAGACAGTTGGGTGTGGGGCGTAGTGGTGTGTTTCAACAGGACAACAACCCCAAACACACAGCAAAAGTGGTTATGGAATAGCTAAATCAAGCTAGAATTAAGAGTTTAGAATGGAATTCCCAAAGCCCAGACTTAAACCCCATTGACAATGGACAATGCTGAAGAAACAAGTCCTTGTCAGAAAGCCAACAAATGTCACTGAACTGTACCAATTCTGCTAAGAGTGGCCAAAGATTCAACCACAAAGCTTGCCAGAAACTTGTGGATGGCTACCAAAAGCGTTGGATTGAAGTGAAAATGGCCAACTGACATGTAAGCAAATACTGCATTAGCATTGCTGTATGTATATTTTTGACCGAGCAGATGTGGTCACTTTTCTGTTAATCCATAGTAAAGAACCCCAAAAAAATCATAAATGCGTGGCTTTTTGGGGTGACAAAGAAGTATCCGTTACAGTTAAACTATGAAAAACTCAGGAGACCCATGACTTTAGGTTCTTTACAAGGATATGTAAACTTTTGATCACAAAGGTAAACTTCAAGCTGATGAGTTCCTGTGGTCACCTCCAGTTGTGCTCTGAACGGGTTCGTCTCCTGTCCCACTGCCTGAAGTTGGCCGTGCAGCTGATCTCGCTCTTCACGGAGAGATGTCACTTGACATACCAGCTTCTCCATCTCAGACTGGATATTGTCTCGCTCTGTGACTGCACACTCAAGCTCCTCAGACAGCCTCTGAATCTGTGATGATGTGAGAATTTGGATTAGACTATGATTGTATACACAAAAATATCAGTGTAAAATACTGGTCAGGAACGAAAATATATTTAGAACCAAAACCATAAATCCATATTAAAGAAAATACTCAACTGTAATCATAAAGCACTTGAAAACAACCACCGCTGTATACAAAGTGCTTTACATGGAGCAAAAATAATTAATACAACTAACAATAAAACAAAATAATAACGAAGACAGTAGAAAACACAAAAACAAAAAATTACGTCGCATGCTGAGTCAAAAGCCAAAGCATAAAAATTAGTTTTTAGACGAGTTCTAAAAATCGGCAGCGAGGGGGCTTACTGAACGTTTAGTGGAATGTCATTTGGGAAGAGAGGGACCAGCAACAAAAAAGGCTCGCTCCCCTCTGAGCCTCCGCTTACTTCTCTGTACCTCTAAGAGTGTCTGGTCCGCAGATCTGAGGCACCGGGCAGGTACGCAGGGGCTCAGAGAGGTAAGGTGGGGCGAGGCCAATTAAAGATTTGAAAATGAATCATAGGATTTTAAAAAGAACTTTAAATTGTGAAGTGATGCCAGTGTAGGAGTTATGTGTCCCCTCTTACGAGTACCAGTCAAGAGGCGAGCAGCAGCAACTGGAGATGCTTAATGGAGGATTGCCTAATTCCAAAGTAAAACGCATTACAGTAACCCAGCCGAGATGTGATGAAGGCATGAAATAGTGTTTCAATGTGCTCTCGAGAAAGGAGAGACTTTACTTTAGCCAGCTGCCTAACATTAAACAAACAGGATTTAACAAATGTAACTCATGCCTGATTTTGACGTTCTTGGGATTTGCCAACGTCTTTGTTTTCATTCATCAACAGGCTGACTTCTTCCTGTAGAACGTTGATCTTCTCTTGAGCCGTTATGAGCTCTGCCTGGTTCTCAGTCCTCTGAAAATAATCCACATTCTCAACATGAGCAATCACAGTGTACTTATGTAAAAGCATATACAGTACATTTAGACAAGGGAAATGTTTGTGTTACCAGATTTTTGGAACAATAGTTTTAACTATGGATGTCAAATCAATAGTATCACAACAAAGGTAGTTCAGAAAGTATATAATTCATACCTGAAAAATATAATGGGAATATGTATGGCCAGGGGAAATGCTGTCTTACTGCGGCACAAAGCCTTTGTCAAAGCAAACAGTGCAAATGCACTGTATTTTGTCATCAAAAAGCAATCCTTGCTTTTCTTTTATTCTTCATTCTTTTACCGTGTTCAAGATGGTCACCTCCTCCTTAGTTTTGACAAATTATTATAAACATTGACTTAAAGCGCACACCACATTGACAGCAATTCATCGCTATCTGGAGGCGATAAGTAATAAAGCCCCAACGACAATCGCAAGTAATTGATGTCCATAAAAAGGTCATACCTTCTATTTTATGGAAGCCCAATACCCAAAATTAAATATACAAAATTTCAAAATCAATCTTGAGACGGATGCCCAAAAAAACCCAAGCAAGTGTGATCTGAATATTGGTTTTTATTTATTTATGGATTATTCTGCCCATCCCAAATTGATGGGCCATTTATTAAGATATGCAAAGTTCCTTACCATTTCGATATTTTCCTCCAGTTCTGTTTTGAGCTGGATCTTGCCCCGTCTCAGTTCCTCCACCGTATCAAGGAGCTGATCCCTCTCTTCAATGAGCGACGTCACTCTGCAAAGCAACCTCTGAGTCTCTTCCATCAAAGTCTGATGTCCAGCTTCCTTGTTGAAACATAGGTCGTCCCTTTCTGCTTTCAGTGTTTCAAGCTCTTCACTCAAAATCCTTATCTGTTTAAAGGAAGGCTATTTTATAGGCTTCTACAACATACAACAGATGGACAAATCATCTGGGAAAAACTAAATTAGTATGACAACTTATTTACACTTTGCTTTAAATCAGACTCCTTCTCCTCAGTTACTTTTACAAGAGTAGAATTCTTCTGCTTCAAATCTTCAAACTCATCGTGAATAGAGTGTAGAAGATGTTGAGACTCTTCAACCTAAAAATGAGGAAACAATTAAATGAAGATTAAACTGAGCTCTGTAATAAATAAATAAATACATAGATAAATAAACGTTTCAACAGACTTGATGTTCCAGCTGAGTTTGTTTCTCTCGACCCATCCTTTCAATGTCATTATTTCTCTGAACTTGATCTTGAAGCTGAGATTGGAGGGAATGTAGAAGGCTTTCGTTTTCTGCAGCCTAATATTTCACACACACACACACACACACACACACACACACACACACACACACACACGAGCGCAGTTTCAAAAACCGGTACATAGAGAGAAAGCAAAGCAGTCAATGCCGAAATCATTTCATGATCTGCAAAACGTTATTTTGCAACGTGAAAAAAAGCAGAGCATTCATCTACCCCATCAATAAGTTGCTGCAGCTCTCCCTCGAGTTGGCTCTTCTGCTCACTGACCTCTTGTAGTGCAGCCTGAAGTTGCTCTTTCTGAAATGGGAAAACAAACGTGACTGTCTGCAGAAAAATCTGAAGGACGGACTAGGCTGATGAAATCAGAACTCACTGGACTGCTCAGTTATGCATAACTAGGTCAACATACAGTATATAAAATAAAAAGACTAATAGTAAAGTAGTAAATGTTTTTTTTTTTTTCCACAGGTTGCAAAGCCACAACATAAACCCCCCGACCTCCTAAGAGATACATACACATTACCTGAAGTCACCACAAAAGGAGGTCGGTGAAAGGGGGTACAATATCGTGCTGATGCTTTGCTTCAAGAAGACAACCTACTTGTGTTTGAAGTGTCTCAAGCTCTGTCGTCATGTCATCAAAAGGCTTTCCTAAGTTGGATGTTTGGGAATCTTCCAGCTGTTTGAGCCGTTGTTTCAGATCAGCTATTTTCCCAAGTGCAGTTCTGAGCTCCTCTTGATTCTCAATCATCTGTTTTGACAACAATTATGGAATGAGCTATGAGGCTATGGTCTTGGACAAAAAATAGTCAAGCAACTCGAAAAAATACTGAGATGGAAATGAAGATATTTAGTCGAGTGCGAGGGTGAAAAATGACCATATCTATATTTTCTTGTAGATCCATCCGGAGCTGGTCTCTCTCCTCTGTCAGCGCTGCGACCACCAATTCTTGCTTCACCGTGTCTTCAGCAGAAATCTGAACACCAGACATCAAGACAAGGTTTTTGCTATCCTCATCTTTCAAAGTACATTTCTGGCCGAGTTCACCAACCTTTCTGAGAGCAAGCACTCCTTCTTGTCTACTGATTACTATGCCATTTGCTCAAAATACCTTTTATAATTAGTATGTGTTATTATGAATAATGAATGATGTCCATTTTCAGACACTGATCATGTTAATGAGGTCTCACAATTAGGAAACAGATAAAGACATGCAAAAATGTTTTAATCTCTTCCAGTGTTTGCACGTTTAAATGATAATTTCCACATTTCAAGGGAAAAAAAAAGTCAAGCAACTCGGTTATGTCGACCACAAAAATGTATGCCTAGTTTGTCACAACCTTACTTACAGTACATCAGGGGTCTTTTAAAACAGCAATGTTAAAGTCAAACAAATTGTGTGATGTTTAAACTTTTCGTGGACATCTCAATATACCTAGTTTACCTAAGAATATACCTAGTTTTAAACTTTTTCTTACGGTGTCATAGCAGAATAAAGGGCAGTGCACTTGTGAGAATTAGGAACTTCGTGGACAATGGTCTCCCCTGGGCCCCAAAAAGATGTTTGTTTGAAGTTTTGCCCCCAAAACAAACCTGCTTTTCCGGGTTGTTCACTTCAAATGTGGGAGCCTGAAATGACTTCAGTCCCTGCAGCTGAGCTCTCAGGTCTCCCTCAGCTTCTTGAGATGCTGCAAGCTCCTTTTGCAGGTTGGACACTGTTCTCTCCAGTTCCACACTATCCATGATATCTGTGAATGGAAATCATTACATGACTTGCTATCGCTCTCAAAATTCATTGCTGTCCGGCTGGGCTACTTTGAGGATTAGTAGGGCCTGGCAGTTGCATTATAACAATTCGGAAAACCTACTTCTGGGGACCTTGCCATCGAGCAGAGTGGTTAGCTTGAGGTTCTCATTAAACACAACATTAAGCTCTTTCTGAAGATCCGCCTGCATTTTCTTAAAATTAGATTTTTCAGCCTCAAGTTGAAAACGCAGGCTGTTGACTTCGGCTTCCATCTTTTTATGGCTGACAGTCAGGGTCATCTGAAGAGAAGATGATAACGACAAGGAAATGAGCTTTCAAACAAAAATCTCTCTATATACATCTTCTCATATTAAAATTGATGACAAACCCAAATGTTTTAGTATGAGGGAAGTTTGAATATTTTGTGTAATTTGTGCTTAACCTTCAACTCTTCCAGAGCAATGTTCTCAGTGCGCAGAACGGCCCATTCTTTCTTTGTCTCTCTGCCAAGGACCTCCGCGTCAGCTAGAGAAAGACGAAGCTTCGCCACTTCTTCAGAAACATCCTTACCACACTGAAAGAAGGAAACAAAAAGTCTGTCGTATAGAAATATAAAACCTATAAACAATGCGTGCAGATAATCATTTAGAGTTGCATAATCGTGCAGGAATGTGGCATGTGTATCTTTTTTGCTTTTTTATGTAAAGAAACGATCATATTGCTTAGGCAATGTTTCATTCTGGTAATCAACAAAAGAGAAAAAAGCTTGTGGTATCAATCATGCGTTGCCTTGTCTGTTATTTTCTGTGAAAAATTTAAACAATTCAAAAAAACATTCTCACCGTTTAGAAAGAAAAATGTGTAATGTTATCTACTACGGCATACAAATACTCCACATGTACCATATTCTGAAGATCCTCAGCAATTTGGGTTTTCTTCGTCAGCTCTTCAGAAACAGTCTCCAAATTTTTCTTTAAAAAAAGACATTGGATTTTTTTAATGCACTGTTGGGATTTAAAATGTATAAAACTACACATGACATTTTTTAAAATCAAATTGAACAGTTGAAATTACCATGTACTGTTCCTGAAACTATTTATGTCCCTTATTAATTAGTTGAAAAAGTGTGACCTCTAAGCCACCTGTCAGAGTTTTTCTCGAACAAAAGTTAAAGAAATGACTTGGCACCCAGGGAAAATTGTCTTCAATATCGGTGGGAGGTATCTCTGAGGGGGAACGACGGTAGTTGCCCCGATGGTCACGCTCACAGTTCCCTGTCCCGCCAGTTTGAACTTTTATTGTCACATATGCAAAATACAAGAAAAAAACTGCCCCCGATATTTGCATACCTCGCCCCCGCCCGGCCCCTCGGTAGTGATTGGTTACCTTGGTTTATGCTTTGAACCACCTGTACGTTGACGCCTTTCTGTCTGGTCTACAATGAATCAACAAGTTGCAGACGACAAATGTCACCTGGGCGCGACGGGTGTTTTCAAATCGTCTTTTGTTGTTCAACAACGCTTTGTTCCCGAATTGTTCATTCCCCCTTTGTGACTGAGTCTATCCTTCTTCCCTCTGTTCGCCCCCTTGCATTGACGTGATAATTGTGGACCTCAAAAGCCCTCCGCCCAGACAGCCGGCGCCTTTGCGCACATGCATTTGGGGGCGCTGGATATGCACCCAAATGTTGAGACGTGCCCAAATTAAATGAAACTTTAAACATGATACAATTTTGCTCATAGATTTCTCTATCACCACCTCACCTGAAGTTCCAAGTATTGGAGATCACGGGATTTCATAGCTTCCTTCAATGAGCAAATTTGGTTTTCCAACTCGCTCTGTGAGATCATAAATATTTAAACATTGTCAATGCATAAGTGTAACGTTTTAGACAGGACAAGGCAATATTCTGACATATCCTAAAACATGTGGCGTTTCATTACAAGTACTGCAATACTTTTAAGTAGTGTATCACGTTCATTTAAAATGTTCATAACTGGAGATAAAAGTTGCAATTATAATTTCTTGTCTCGGGTTTCAGAATATGGCAAAACTCAAGAAATTGTCATCACTGAGCTTTTCCACCTGCACATTTTTGTAAAATATACTGTCAGCGCAAGTGACCTAAGGTGGGAAATTGTGTTGGGTTGCACATTTGATACACTAAGACAATCTTGGAGCTTTGAAAGGCAAAGCTTTAAAAACAAGCCGGTCATGTTATTTCCTTAATTACCTCATGTTCGTCTCTTATCTTTTCTTCAAGAGCCATGAATTCCTGCAGTTCGGCCTTTTCCTTCAGTTCCTGTGAAAGAGCAGTTTTCTCCTTCTCCAGTTTTTCAGTCTGCCTGACGGCAAAGTCCAGTTCCTGCTTGAGATGGTCTTGCTCAGATGCCAGCATATCCTAGAAACACATCCAACAGAAAAAATTCCTTGGATGTTTCCTTGTGTGCATGTCATTTTGGTGGCACAATTGTATACGACTGATTCAACTTTTACATGCAGCGACTGCTTCACATGAAATCATGGACTGAAATTTAAATTTAAAATCAAACTGCCTTCAGTAACAACGATGTTGCCCTTCCAAGATACTTAAAGTGATTCAGTTCCTAACATGGAAGTCAAGTTCAGAAGTCCATCAGGCAATGAAAATCGGCTCCACCGCTGAGCATTGCAAAAGGCATGTGGCAAAAGCGTTTATTCATCAACATGGAGACATTTAACCAGATATATGCCTTAAAGACACATTATCTGTAAGGGGTAAAATCGTTTTATACGTTGTGCTCTATGGTCCAATGACAACATTATAATGAACTAATGGGAAGGACAATGTCACAGTTGGTCATCAAGATTGCGCTGCTCATGTCTAGGGAGAGCTTCACTCAGCTTTACTTATACAGGCAATCAATGAGACATTCTACTCGCTTGGGTGGGCATTCTGAACGCTGTGTCAAATATTTATATTCATGTATTCAAATTGAGGTCACAAAAATGACACAGCTCTCAAACAAAAATGTAATACCGATTGTGCAGTGTCAAAACTGAGCACCTTTAGTGTTGGAAAGGCACAATACTGTATTACATACAGCTCTTGTTGTGCCTATCAACGTATTGTGCAAAAAGTAAGAAAATGTTTCTGTGCTGTACAAGTGGTTACATTGTTGTGCCTGATTGGTCTACACACACACACACACACACACACACACACACACACACACACACACACACACACACACACACACACACACACAATACATTGTTTGTTATCTGCTTATGCAGTATAGATGAGGTCTTATAAACATCCAGAAATGTTCACCTCAAATCAGTAGTGAACTAAAATGTCAACTCCTTTCATTGTGTCACAAGCCCAGTAAGTGCCATCCTATTAATACTGTAGTCCTAAATTGTTTCCTTTCGCAGTAGCGCAATTCCAGACTGGATTTGATGGGGAAAAAAAGTTACCTTCTCCGTGGCTAGAATCTCACAACGCTGGACAATCTCTGCAAAATCTATTTCGAGCTACGGGGGGAAAAAAAGGGAGGTTGTAGTTCAAAATAAAACCAGTACAAAAAGGGAGGTTGTAGTTCAAAATAAAACCAGTGCAGTGTGCAAGAAACCACGTGAACAGAATCCCGTTTTCGACCCACCTGTTCATCAGATTGCAACTGCTTGTCACTCTGTTCTTCAAGTTGTCTTTTCAGTTCGGTCACGCACAGCTCCAGCAACTCTACTTTCTCGATGGCCTCAGCTTTTTGCTGAGCTTCACTTTTGAGCTGCAAGTCAACTTCTGTCGCCTTCTCTTCCATTGCCGCAATTTGATCCAAGGCTTGCTGCTTTTGCTGGCCAACTGTTTGAAGTTCAAGTTCCAGTTCTGCCACTCTTTCAACTGACCTAAAACAGTCATGTATACATCCACTAGTATATTACCGTAAATAGTTGTAGACCATCTACATACAGAAAAACGACTGAATAAAAATAATTTTTAAAAATTCAATCGTGATTATAAGAAAACTAGTACCTGTTACCCAAGCTACGGAAAGTAATAAAATCTTCACTTCCACTTATGTCATCTGATGACTCATCAGGAATCTCCCATTGACCATCAAAGTCTTCGTCATCTATTAAAATGCAAAGTTAGGGATGTAACTATGCTTCTATGTCACCTCTGCTGACCGCCAGAGGCATGATTTTCCACATGCACAAAATCATCCTTACAGTACAATGAACATGGAATGTGAAATGTGAAATGGCACTCTAATTTGAATGTACCCGTGACTGACCTCACCTTCAACCAACATCTCCATCACACTGGTGCTATCAGCTTTCCTCCTCTGATCGACAAACTCAACAAAGCTACGGCCTGACAGACCATCTTGACTGGGAGACGCGTGGGCCAAGCGGAGCATTTTCCCTCCCCACGTAACCCTGCGCTTGGGCACCTTCAAAACAATAATCAAAGGGGGTTGCAGCAATGAAGATAAAAAAGCTGTCATGTTAATTTGACAACTAGTTACCTTTTGTACACGAGTCAGGTTGGTGCTGGTGACCAGTAGTTTGGTGAGGTTTCTTATTCTGTCCTCTTGTTCTACTTGAAGTTGATGTTTTTCTTGGAGAAGCTGAGAGAGCACCTCTCTCTCTGTTGCCGTGGTCTGTGTTTCTGAGGAAACCTGCAGCGGTGGGAGGGCGTTGTCACTCAGTCAATGCATTGAAAGTGATTCTGCAATAGCACCTCTGCAGACGGACAAGGCATTGCAGAGCAAAAAATGAAGTTTCTTGCCTCCTGAAGTCGTCTCTTGAGGTCGACAATTTCATTACGATATCTTTTGAGCAGTGCACCGTCATCAGAAACTTCTGTGACGTGTGGATCATTTTTCATTTTCTTTGCAGTGCTAGCAAACTGTAGAAATAACACATTTGAACATTATTTAAACACCAAACAACATATAACAATAACTGTAAAGCAACTATTGTGCAGCATTTTAGTTCTTTTGTCTAACATTTTTACGGACACAGTTAAAAGAGGGTGTTATATTTAAGATTACAAAGCATTTATGAGACACAGAATAGACACATTTAGGTCGGGCAAGTCACTAATTTAAAAAATGCTTTAATCTCCCTCTCGTTTAGGATAAAAATGGGCAAATGGATAATGGTTTAATTTGCAGTTTTTCCAAATAAAAGAAAGAAGTTTGTTTTATTGTAACCGATTTTTAAATTTACAAAAACACACCCTTTGAAAGCTTACTTTCACTTCCTGTCAAGGGAAAGAAATCCTTTCCCAAGTGTTGTAGCATTTTTAATGAATTCATAAATAAAGTGCTGTGAAAGAAAAGCAATAGTCCAACCTGCAGAGTGCGGAGTGTCTCATCGAGTGATGCAGTCGTGATTGTGCAGAGGATAACTGTTTTGGCATTTCCACCGAGGGAGTTCTGAAGAATCCGTGTCAACTTACTATCTCTGTAGTTAATGAAACTTCGGAAAACACAGCATGTGAAGAGTACGTCAGCATTTTAATCTTGTGAGAGACACTGTGTATCCGTACACACAAAAGCACGATTCTGAGATGTGAATAATGGCAAATGAGTGAAGCAGTCACAATTGACAACTTTGGCATTAAGTACAGTAGATGGCTAGATTTGACATACCTTTGACTATCTTCACTAAGCTTCTTTATCACTTGGCCAAGTGTGAAAAGGCTGCGGTTGATATTGCAACCTTCTTTCAAGCGTGTACCTAACAAGTGGATTCATGTCAAGTCAATTCGAACATTGTTTACCATCAAGCAATACAGCAAGTGAGGTTTCGACTACAGCGTAAAACTGTAGCTCTTTACCTTCAGCCCCTGTTTGGCTTGCTCTCTCTGATCCAGCCAGGTCAACTAAATTCTGAAACAGACACAAAAAAATGGATCGAATCAAAATATAATTACATTTATTTATAAAGCACTTTAAATTCAACAGCCGCTCCTGACAGAGCTGTAGAAGAGGAATAAAAAGACTGAACGTGGACAGTGGGGGGATCATAAGTTAAAAATGAAAATAAATACATGTATAAAAGGGAAAAAAAACGTATAACATGTCTCATTTAGTCAAAGAGTGCTGACTTCAATTGAAATACATGAGTGAAAAAGAATTTCAACACACTTAACATCCACTTAAAACACACCCATTGAAAAGATTTGGTTTGGGGGCAGGGGGGCAAATGAGAGGACAGTCAACACAAAAGGGATGCACTCTGCCAAATTTTCAGTTTCTAAATGCAGCACTCAAGTGTATGCCAACAATTTTGGTGGAAGACAACGACCAAGGAAAAGCAGATGCGAGTTAAGAACTATGAGCTACCTCTTGGCAAACAAATAAAATAAAGTTCACAGCAAAGAAAAGCCTCCTTACCAAATGGGAAACAATGATGGCTCCATCTGCATTTTCCCCTGATGCCAGGTCACTTCTTTCACGACTCTCTAGGATCTAAAAAACAGGAGGGCATTTGTCGATGAATATTATAATCATGAAAATGTAACAGATTTTTTATATTAAAAATACAATAGTAGCCATAAGAGAACTTTTCAATTCATTCATTTGCAAGGGAATTCTTCACAACGCATACACTGACTTGAACCACTGCAGCCGCACCTTAACATCTCTTTCAAAGAAAAACAAATTTTAAACACAACATTTGAAAAAGAACTTGTGAGGACCACAAAAGATTGAAGGATATGATCGAAAAGTGTAGTCATAAACGTGTCAAAAGAATCGTATCACAGAATATTGTTCTAAGTTACGTACCATTCGAAAAACGGTGTGTGAACGGCTGCTGCGCTCATTCATTTTAGTCTTTCCATAGTGACGGTTTTCTGCAAGATCAAACACGTGTAGCATGAAAAAAAATTAAATTAAAAAAAAATCTTCCAGATGAGACAGATCCCCATACATACTTTCTCCTTTGCGAATCCAGGCCAGTACTTGAGCAGGAGAGGTCACCAGTTCCTCGGTCAGGTCAACTACATGGATGGTTTTCTGCACACAGTAAATAAGAATTATGCTAAACATTCAAAATTTAAAATGAAAAGTGTGTCAAGTATCTAAGTTATGCTTGTTGCCTTTATCAAAGAGACCAGAAAACTAAAATGACCGAGGACACAATTCTTAAAAATGATCTCTCCACTGACTTCCCTTCCACAGAAAACAGGCAAAATTCAGTGAGCAAGGGACACAGATTCACTCGTTACCCCAATAGCAGACTTACTCATGACATTTTTATCTTGCTAACACAATATCGGCTAAGAACAACAACGTATTGTGCATGGTATTTTTTTTTGGGGGGGGGGGGGGGGGGGGGGGGTCCCGTGGATCTCTTCAGCTGCAGCACTCGGCGGGTCCCTCCGCAGTCGTGGTCCTCGCGCTTTTCTCCCCGAGGGTGGTAGCATGGGGTGCGTATCCCTCCGTCGGGTCGCCTTGACCGGCGCCTAGCAGCTGACTTAAAACTGGTGCGGACCAGGGGAATCCGACTGTTTAATTAAAACAAAGAATCGCGAAGACCCGTGGGGGGTGATGACGCAATGTGATTTCTGCCCAGTGCTCTGAATGTCAAAGTGAAGAAATTCAACGTGAGAGGCAATTAAGAATGCTCGTCTTTGCAAACAACAGTGACGTTGTTAAGATGCGCGCGCATCTTGGAGGCAATGTTTGCAAACATTGAAACTCATCTATTGGCTGTCAATCAATTTTTTTACTCCAACAAAATGGTCATTTCAGAATACACACACACAAAAAAAGACAACTTACATTTGTAGTCTCTCTGACTTCCAGAGGTTTTCTTTTCCAACTGTCTACAAGCAGATCAGTCACAGTTTCATTGTATATTTCCATGTAAGACACTCTGAGAAGAAACTCCTTCTTTGGACACTGCAGACAAAACAGAGATCACCTGTGATTAAATGATATTGACCAAACAAATGTAGCACAATCACAAAAACATGAAACAAAACTACAACATATTTGACCTTTTTTATGGTTTCAAAGACGTCATCAACAGCCAGTGGGATGACACCAGGAACATGATCACTCCCCATCATTGTGAACGTCTTTCCAGAGGATGTCTGACCATAAGCAAAGATGGTACCTGTTGAAAGCAAAAAAATAAGTAAAAAAAAAAAAAAAAAGGCCGGCAACATTTACACATGCACAGGAACCCGTATGATGTCAAGCTTTATGGTGCCATTACCAACCATTGTATCCTTCCACAGTTGAAACAACCAATGGCTTTGAGATATCCTGGTAAACTTGATTGGTTGTTTCTTCAGCAGTGAACACCCTGTCTGTTCAAAACATACAAGCGCACAACAGATGTTTGCTATACGGCAACCGTGTAACATGCGCTGCAGCTTTATAAATAATAGACGACACTGTACATGCTTGAGCAGAAAGCCGTACCAAAACTGAAACTCTTTGTTGCGCTCCCGTCATCAATCTGATGAATAAATTTCTTATCACTTTTCCAAAAGACCTGAACAGGCTCTGCCGTTTCTGATGGAACACTTTCTTCTCTGTAACAAAGAAACATCAAAGACATTAGATATTTTGAAGTTGCAGTTTAAAATAAGAGTTGCTGCTGTTATAAAAGTGCCCTCATCTTGTTTCGGAGAATTTTAACTTGCTTTCTGTAATGATGGTCTAGAAATTAGCGATGGATCAAATTGTGCCGAGGCTTTGGTCGAGCAATCCAGGATGGAATTCCTGAAGCGTGTATCAAAGTGTCATTCGTTTCAGGGGACATAACATCATTGATGACGTACTGTATAAAGCCATACTGTTTTGAGGAGTGGTTCACGTGCTGGCACTTTTAATTAACAGATGAGGAAAGAGCATAATGGATCTGCTGAAATGTTGTGTTAGTTGTCCAGTTGGAACTTGGCCAATTTCCTCTGACAAATACAATTACTAATTGATGCAGTCTGCTTAAAAAAATGTTGACAACCCTTGGCGAGAGCACTCCAAATTAGATCCCACATCGTATGCCTGTATGGGGGTCATTCCATGCCAAATCACCCAGCGGGTTTAACCAAGCAGATTTTGATTTTAATGAAACTTGCAGTAGTTGTAGATCGTGATGGCAAAACACGAAAGATCAAATTCTAGGTTAATCAGAGCAGGTGTTTGGTGAAATAAGTAGTCAGTGGAGCACGTCTATGGAACTACTATATTTCAGAAGCATTTTTGATTCCGATTCAAAGTTTTGTTTTTATATCCAATTTGATGTTGGAGTTATGACCTCATTTTATAAAAAAGGTATTTTTTTCTTCTCGGGTAATACACTGGTTTAATTAGAAGTGTAGCGACTCCAGAGTGGATGAAACACTGGCATAGTTGTTCATTAGGAGTTAAAATTAAATCTATTACAAAAGATGGGACATCGATTGCATGAGGACCAACAACTTTAAGCTACATACCATGTCCTATTGGATTAGTTTATTGAATTGAATACAACTTTATTGTCAAATGTGCTGTATGTATACAGCACAGATGAAATTTCTTCCCTCTCAACATAAAACAAGAGGAGCCGCTGCGGGTGTCCGCGCCACCATCAAAAGAAAAGTTAACAAAAAAATGACAAAATAATACAAGACAACACATGAGACACAGACAATCGTGCAATCCTAACCACTTTCCTGCATACACTTGTTGTCTGAAGCAGTTATAGATGAAATAGGAGCGAATCCAAGTGTTCTTTTCACCAGTGGATCAGTGTGCACACGTCTGCTACAAGCTAAGCTTGAAAGCAACAAGAAGCTGTAGCATCCATTAACGAAAAAGAGAGATTGGCTCTCTTCTCCTGTCCCTTTTCAGTGATGGTTCCCATGCGGATACTGATGCAAGACTACTAAAAAAAAAAAGCCATCAAACATATTGTAGCTGAAATAAGAGTTTGGACCACCACGTGATTTGTGTGCCCAATAAACCAAGAAAACTTTATCGGGCCACCACTACTAGAAATACAGTATGAACTGTATGTACTATGACTTAAAAGAAGGAGAATAGAAACTCACGGGTTACATTTACGTTGTATAGTAGACCTCACTACAATAATAATGGCTGGGTTTGTGGTGGGGGAAGCAACATTAATTCGCCCTAAACATACATTGATAAACGTACACCAGTACAACTTTTTATGATGGATCGGCCCAAGCTGAAAATGCCAAGACTTTTTATTTGTACCAGTCTACTCTTATGTTTAAACGTAAACATTGCCGTTGGAAGTTGCTTTTATCCGCTTAGCCAGTAATGTAGGATATGCCCGTTTTTAGATTTGTTGAACACTTGCCACATTACATACTCGCTGACAACTCACCTTTGAATAATCGGACGCACTCTAACACATACTTTAACAGCCGACTCCTCAGCCATTTCGTTGCTTGAAAAGCGCCCCGAAAATCAAATTAAATTGCTCTTGCAGATGTCGTCGCCACCAAACACTTCCCTTAACTCAACTGCTGTTTTCGCGTTTAAGAATTCAAATTTCTTCTTCTCTTGAAAACTAAGTGCGGCAAATGGCGTAAAAAGTGCAACATTGCTACCTACTGGTAAGAAGTGTGAATTGAGGACTGCACTGTTTTCTTTTTGATGAACGGCGGTTTACAAGCTGTCCTTGGATCTCAGGGGTGAGTGAAAAATAAAATTAAATAAAATATATTCCCACATTCGTTATTCTAGTTCGTGCAAATAAATGTCCAATCGTGTTGTATTTGCTTGTTTTCGTGAAATTCACACTACACTATTCCACGTTGAAGTTAATCTTTTTTCCGGTTGCTGTAGTTTATGTTTACTATCAAATGCATATACTATATGCATTTGACAGTACTGAAAGTTTAAATATTTTCATACATTTACACATCTGCGCATTGTTGGAACCCATTTTAAAGCATTTTCTAAAACAAGCACTTTACGTTCAGCCATACGAAACATTTCCAATAACAAAATAAAATGAGAACGAAAACGCTTAAAAAAGAAAAGAAAACTAACTGAAACTAAAGGTAGCTTTGTGTGTTCATTTTAAATTTATTGATTTCGGCATGGCTGTACATCAATGCAGAAGAAGAAATGTTAAACAGTTTACAAATTGCAATTAACTTCAATACACAATAAGTACATAGTAACCTTTTCAAAGGCAAAAAAAAAAAACCGAAAGCTTTTTCAAAAAACTAAAAGATAATAACTAACAAACCCGCTTTAAAAACTAATTAAAACTAACTCCATCTAAAAATCAAAACACAATAAAAACTCACAATAATGTTAAATCCAAAACAAGTAACCCTTGTCACAGAACGTTTTTCTATAAAAAAAATAAAAGCGTGACTTCCAGAGTTTATGCCAACTACAAGAAGCTGCTGTGCCACGGAGCTCACCTTTGGTTGACCCATTACTACTTGTTTTACCCAAAAGTTGACCGGAAGGACGAACGTGCATAAAGGGGGGAAATGCAAGATAGCGCAATGTTTTTTTGTGAAGGAGCGCAAAGCCATCTACAGACAGCAGGATGGGAAAGTCACACTTCATTGTAGCAAAACACCAAACACCCACAGGGACGATCAAACTTGCTAAGGCAGAACACTCATGGTTGTGTGGTACAAGACTGAGGGGATTCCCGAGAAAAAAATGAAGCAGTAAGGTCAAGGGCAGACAGGATCCGCTACGGTAGATTAATCCACAAAAAACTGCTGGCGGGTCTTGCATAGACCTGTAGCAAGCAATCTGGCAATGAGTCAATGGTTAGAAGAGCCTTAAATTGGAGGGTGTGGCTGACTGACAGAGTCACTCTCACTAATGGGAGCGTGCACAGGGGGCTCATGGTGCCGAACTGTGAAACAATAGTTTGTTTTGACTGTCTGTGTAAATACTTTGCATAGATACATAGATGTACCCCCCAAAGCAGAATAATGCACAATTCAGTTTTTTAAAATCCTGTTTTAATGCAACGCTGCACCAAGACAAGACACAACACTATAGAACAATTCCAATTCATTTCCTTGGGTTACAGTAATTGGCAGACATCCAGGCTCATACAATACGTGTTATTAGATGTAGGTTGGTGATCGTAATTTCTGAACATAATTTCTGATCACAAATTAGAAATTAAATTAGAATGCATCAACTCTTAACATATAGAGAAACGTACCGGTAGCTGAAGAAGAATAAATACACATTTAAGTTATAAGCAGTCAAAAAGAAAAGAAGAGATAGAAACATTTGACGTTAAGAAATCATTAGAATATTGGTAGAGTCGTTGCAAAACGCTTATTCCTGTTGTAGTGTGACTGAAAAAGGCAGTATTGGAATGGTATGTCTTATAAATGTCCAGTGAATTTCATTCATGATCTTATAGAAAAATATTGAGCATTACAAAAAAAAAGAAAACATTTGGAGATTTGTATTTTATTGGACAGTTTGATTAAGATACAGGTAGCTGCTTGAAAATATTGCTTATGTGTTGCGAAACTTTTCACTGATGGTTCATTTCCTTTTATTATATGGGGGCCGCATGGCACAGTGGTAGAGTAGTTGTTTCCCAACCCAGAAGTTGGTGGTTCGATCCCTGGCCATTGTGACCATGTCAAAGTGTCCTTAAGCAAGATACTGAACCCCAAGTTGCTTCTGATGCTGCGTCATCAGAGGGTGAATGAGGTATCAGTGTAAAGCACTGTGAGTACCGGAGGTAGAAAAGCACCATATAAGTGACAGCCCATTTACCATATTATTGCATAAATTGACTCTGCTGTCTGTCGGCTCAGAGATTAAAAAATGTGACAAGATAAACATTGTGAATCTCTCTCTCTCTCTCTCTCTCTCTCTCTCTCTCTCTCTCTCTCTCTCTATATATATATATGTCAATAGAAAAAATGTTCGACAAAGAAGGAAAAGCTTGAGACATATCCATGTCACGTTGTAATGTTACAGTGCACGAGTGAGTCAGTTGCAAATAATTTTCTATTTATCCTTTATAAAGTGTTAAGAGCTTGGTTTTATAAGTTCAATGGAGATTTATCTTTACAGCAGGCAACAAGCGAATGCTCGCACTGGCCTCCACATAATGTGTCTTTGTATGGGAAACGTTCACCACTCAAGAAGTTGCGGGAGCTTAGCTGGCTATTCCTCTCCTTCCAGTTTTTGTGTGACACACTTGATGCGAATATTTTCTCGAAGGTTGCGGAGACGTGCACTGCGACTTGTGATTTCCTCCACGTAGGGCTTGGGGAACCAGCCCCGTTCCCCGTCGGACAGCCGGATGCCTTCCACCCAACCTGGAAGAGTGATCAACCCCATGAACATTGAATGGGGGAAATCATGATGGTCCTTCAAAGCCTTTTCTGCTGATGGAAACATGATCAGAAGCACTGACCTGCATTTAAATCGAATATCTTACATCTCAATAGTCGTTTGCCTTCATGTCATAGCGTGTCTGTTGGCTGCATGAATTTCACTTGTCTATGGTTTACCATTTTCTTATTTTTTGTCCAATCAGATTTCAGCTTCGACATGTTGTCGCTATCATATGAATGCAATCATATGAATGCAATCTTCCCAGGATCTTCAGATTCCGGATTGCTGGCCGATGCCAAATCTACAGTGGTAAATCTAAGTTTACCAATTAAAGTCAACCAGAGTTCAGATTCAATAAATAGAGCCAGCGAGAAGGCTTAGGGTGATGTCAGCATTTTTCCATCCTCTAATTGGTTCAGAGATACTTGAATGAGATTCCTGTACATTAGTTGAAACCAGCGACTGAGCAAGAGAAGACGACTGTCGGACATAATTGAAAATTCATTTTCAAGGTGGCCTGAGCGAAGGCCAACATCCAAAATGCACTGCCCGCCACTGGTTCTCCTCTGTGTCTCCCTCTCCATAGAAAATACCAAAGGATTTACTGAGTGGTGTAATTTCAGACTTAATGTGGGCAGCCACTCCAGACACCAAACTATTTTTTTTTTCACTATATACAAACAAAAAGTCCCGTGGTCACTCCTAACTGGAGAAGCCAAAAGGAATGAAGATATACAAAAAAAAAGTCAGTTTTGAATATATTCCCCTTTTGTTGAAGAAATGTGACAAATAAGCCTACTGTTTGTTTTTTTTTTTTGTTTGTTTGTTTTTTTACATGGGTGTGTTGACATGTGATACCTTCGGCATTTACTTGTATATTGTGTGACATGGGCATGTGTTTTAAAACCATTTTCTCACCGTCACTTGTGATGGTCTTGGCATGGAGAATGTCTGCCTTCTCCAGTGTTAACTCATCATGTTCTTGTGCCTGATAGCTTCTAATGCACTGGACCTGAGATATGTCTGAGATGAGAAAATAAGGAAATGCGATAATTAGAATGGTTAGCCTTCATGCTTCACAGTGAACCACACGCGTCCAACCTAAGAGGTGTAGTAGGGCAAAACAATTTGTCAAAGTCAAATCGACAACGCAAAGTAGTAGGATGCAGTTTTCACATCGTTAATAATAACATTTAAAGGAAAAAAAGTTGGATTTTGTTTGGTCGGGTGGGCTTGTGTATGTATTTATTTATTTATATAGTATCTAGATAAGTTCAGTGCTTGAAGTCCACATGTTTACATATCATTGTTTCATAAAACATGAATACTTAATTTTGTGAAGTTGTTGAAGTGAAAGCTGTAAAGACGACAAGCCAAAGTGTTTAGTAAGTTAAGACCTCTTTTGGAAGTATAGATGAAGTGTCTTTCGTATGAACTCATGTTTCATTTGCCTTTATTTTAGCATCAGCCTAATATATGACACCAAAACATTTCTGTATGTTACATCTGATATTGCTTCTTGTAATACAGATCACGATTAACATTTTTCAAAATCCTTCAGCCTTACTGTAGACTCACCATCATTCTCACTGGCTTGCTCAATGTCTTCTCGAGGATTGGATGGAAACATGGCTGCAATCCATCGCTGCTTTCCGCTCCTTCTTGCACACAAAATCAACACAACTTAGAGTGCACTTTTGATAAAAAGCATCCAGTTATGCTCTTATGTCCACTTATGTCTTTGGTACACACTCGGTGTTTGACTTGAGCAGAATCTGATGTTTGAGTTGCTGTCCTTCACACAACTGTAGGTGGAAGATGAAGCCTGAGATTCCTTGCAGCTTCTGACTCAAATCCTTCACTTTTAGCTCTCCTATCTTGGCGTGAACAAACACCAAGAACTTCCATGTGCTGCAACACAACCACAAACTGTTGGTTACAAAATCAAACAATGTAGGACTTATTCACGTCCTCCAAAACTGTTCATTTGGAGGATAGCTTCTCCTTTTTTTCATGTTGAAAGTATAATCATCAAACATCCATCTATTTTCTACAGTGCTTGTCCTCATTAGGCTCGCAGGTGAGCAGGAGCCCATCTCAGTAAACTTACGAAGAGGGAAGGTTAAACCCTTGACTGGTTGCTAGCCAAACACACGGCACACAGACCAACAAGCATTCACACTTATTGGCAATTTTGAATCTTCAATGAACCTAACTTGCATGTTTTTGCAATGTGGGAGGAAGTACCCAGAGAAAATCCACAGATACACAGGGGAGAACATGCAAACGCCACACAGGAAGGCTGAAATTCCAACCCTCAGAACTGTGAGGCTGATAAGCTAACCACTAGGCCACCGTGCTTCCTGAAAGTAGAATCAAACAAGCAATTTAAAAAAAATTAATATATATTTTCATTTCATTTTATTCCCATTCAGAGTTCGTGTATCATCAAAATTTGAAAGATAATGATTCAGCTCATCTGGCTAAGGCCTTCCCTAAGTGGTAACGTAGGATAAAGCTGTAATAAAGTGGCCTGATGGTGACCTACTCTTTTCTCCTGGACAGCAGGAGGCAGTCGTTGAACAGGTGCAAGTATACTGGCTTGGTGGGCAGCTTGAGTTTGGATCCCGAAATACTCATGGTCTGCATGTCCACCTCCAGAAGTTCACCGTGCTTCACCAGCCAGCGAGACTGAGAAATCAGAGGGAAGATCTAGAAAGAAGGAAAACGTGTGTTTAAGTCTCTGTAAATGAAATAAATGTGTTGTAAATGACACACCCCACATAGAAGAGTGTTGTTAACAACCTGCCAAATTTGAAAGTTTGAGTGCTTTTGGTTGTGTGAAGCACAGTGAGTTGCCTTGTCGATGAAATGTGGCATGTATAGTAAATAGAATTGCTTTAACCGCATAAATCTCTCTGTTTAAAGCCACATATGACTGGAATATCTCCAACTGGGTCACCTGCCATGGGAGGCGCTAGCCACTAGCTAACTTGCGAACCAACTGCGGCTCCTTGGAACTGGACCACCAGCTGTGGACACGTCTGTGGTATCACCTCCTCACTTGGATTTTAAATAACAACATCGAGCTGTTCTGTAAATTGTGGCGTCCAGGGAAGATGCATTTTCAGGGTGTAGGCATAGCTAGCTAGCTAACGTTATAATGTAGCAGCATAACTGGGCCTCTTGATATTTGGAAATCGCAATTGCACTGCATAACCATGAGATGGGAATGACATCACTCAAGTTTGTCAGGAGCACCGTTTCAGTTACGCACTCTTAAAAAAAATACATAAAAATTAAAAAATAAGAGAGGAAAACTAAAATGGCGAAGAACAGCTTCGCACTATATCGCAATAATTCAGTGCAACAAAGTTTTTAGTGTTTGCACATTTTAAACAATTATCTTCAAACATTTATAATGTATTCCAAAAACATCTCTGAATTCACTTTATGGGGTTCGAATGTTTTGTTTTTTCAATCAACAGACAGTAATCAACAGACTTGTCACCTTGCCCTCAAACTGAATTTTCTTATTGAGATGGATGAGTTCCTCCATCCTCTTCATGGACTGCACGCTGGAGTTGCACTCCTTAATGATCTAAGACAAGATCGTCACCAGAGTTAGAATTGTCCACAAGTCTTTTTAGCATGAGATATTAAGTACCTTTTTTAACTCATTGAAAGCCTTTGTTGCAGTGTCTTCATCTCTGGAGCCTGGAGTGGTCCTCTTTAAGATGTTCTACAAACATTTTAACATTCTTTGAAATGTATCGCATCAAAATCTCGTGTTACATACATATTGTGCAAATATAAAGTGTCTGCAGGGTGTTTCAAGTGTACCTCCACCAGCATTTTAAGCCGAGTGATCCTTTGGAATGGGAGGATTAGAAAGGAGGTCAGAGGAAGTCTCTGGCAGACGCTGTCCTCCTCCAGACGGGCCAAAGTGGCAGGAAAGCGAGCTTTCTCCTGCCTGACGATACAAGAGGGGCCATGTTGAAATTATCATTAGAAAAATTCAGTTTAATCCTAATGCACAAAAAACGCACAATGCAATGCACATGAGGGTCCAAAGTACCAGTAATTGGCTGAGGCTTCATTTGAAATGTATTTTATGACTGAATAGTCGAAGGGAACTTCATTTCTTACTTTTGATGACCACAGATAAACATTCCAATGTGTTGACTTTTATGCTTAACTGAAGAAAAATAGTTTACAAACATGTCCCAAAAATGACTCATTAGTCCAAGTCTTTTATTAAAATTAACTGACTTCATACTATTAAGAATGTATTAAGGGCTATTAAGAATGTATATACAAAAAAAAAAAAATCACCCAGTTAACTTTGGAGCAAGCTTTGCATCAAAGGGAACATTATTGCACTTGAGAAATTCTTCGGCTCACTACAAGTTAAGTCATAAGATAAGATAAGAAAACCTTTATTAGTCTCTGAAATTCTTCGGCTCACTACAAGTTAAGTCATGCAGGTGTATATGAACGCCCAACACAACCACCCATGTCGACTAGAAAATATTTAACGGCACCATGTTAGACAAAAGTTTTTGCTCTTGTCATGCATGTGTATTTTCAGGACAAACACGACTAAGTTGTTTTGCAAAGCTTGTGATGGGAGGCATTTTACTCTTGTTCAGACAAATCACTGGATGAGCCTGCCACAGCCCACATACAGCACTTGCATCCTGCCAATTTTTGCTCTCAAGTCAAAGCAAAAATATCGTCCGAACGATGGCTTGTATCTCGAAGGAACTCATTCTCCTGGTCTGCTTGGAACATTTAACCCTTCACTCTCTGGCTATGTTCTTCAGCTGGCAGAAGGCTGTTTCAGTGACTGATTTGATACGAATGCTGAAAGTCAGACCCGAGTCCACCAGCACACCAATGTTTCGGACTTGTTCTTTGGTTTTTAAAGGCAGTGGCTCTAAGTGTGTATTAACAGCAACACTCTTTTATTTATTGCCAAAAACAATTACCTCTCTTTTGTTTTGTTTATGATGAAGCAGATTTATTATTTTAGACAGTGACATAACAAGGCAAGAATGAGAGAGGAGATGACTGAAGCAACAAGACATAGACCCTACTCACAGGAGACGCTGATAGGTCTGTTCTTGGTAAGCCTGGTTGGTTACATAAGGTAAATAGACCCTGCGCAGAGCCGGGCAGTGATCCAGAACAATGTCACACACGTCAAAATGCAGAATGTCTTCCTCCAACCTGCTCTCCAAGTCATGAAGAAACCTGCAAGTAATGGAAAGTGCTGGATACACCCTCATGACAGACGTGTTCAACGACAGGCAAGTGCCTCAGGACTTCACCTCTCACTGACATCTTTGACTTCGGGCAGCTTGGAGAAGAGCCACTGCTTGTCCTGAGCGCCAAGACATTCGGAGAGCTCCTGTGACAGCATGAAATGATCCACAGCGATGGTCAAACTTCGGATGTATGAGGCCTCAGATGTCACCAGCTCAAACTTGGCCTAAAGGGAGGAGTAATGAGTTATTAGCTATGAGCAGACCCAGGACACTGGATAGTAATGGACAACCCAAGGTAAAAGTTTACTTTGTAATAAATATGTTCTATGTGCCCGCCTAGCACAAACAGTATTCTGATTAATTTGGTGTTTGTTGAATAAGAATTAAATAGATGAATCCATCCATTTTCATCTATCGAAAGGGGCTGCCATTTTGTCTTTATGCCGCTCGCCGCTGTCGAGTGAAACTGACATCCACCGGCCTTGGGCTTAATTTGCGAGCGTCGCAGCGCGTCTGTTTGCTGGATTTGGTTTCATGACATTTACAATGAGAGCTCGAGAGTAGTTTGACATTGATGGATACATTCATCTGCTTAATTCTTATTCCACAAACGCAATATTAATCAGAATACATTGGATCCCCACTATTCACGTAGGATATTAACCAGGCTGGCATGTGAATAGCAAAGATCTGCTGGATTATTATCCATCCATCCATTATCTGAACCGCTTATTCTGACCAAGGTCGCAGGTGTGCTGGAACCTATCCCAGCTGTCATCGGACAGTAGGCGAGGTACATCCTGAACTAGTTGCCAGCCAATTGCAACTGTGTTATGTTCAAGAACATTGAGAAAAAAAAAAATCCACAAATATGAGTTGCAGTGGTCTACTGCACTTTGGTTAGACACATGGAACAAATTTTTGCCTTGAGTTCAGCTTTAAGGCTCATTTGTGTGATGTGAAAACAACCTCCTGCAATTTTCTCTGCTCATTGCTGAAGTTGTCCAGCTGACCACTAGAGCGCACGTCCGGGATGTCCTGCCACAGGGCAAAAGCAGAACCTCGCGAGGAGCAAAAGGAGCTGGATGGAGATAGACTGGATGGAGATGAGGTCCCATCGGAACCGATGTCTCTGAGGCCATCCTCGTCTGTGCCCAGCTCCTTTCCCTGTTGCCTTTGGATCTCTCTGTTAATGGCAACATCGCTGTATTCTTGATACAAGATGGCTACGGGAAACACGGAAATATTTTTCAGGTATCCGCTTTTAAACAGATTCAGAAAAAGAACATTTGTGGAAGAACTTACAATTTGGCAAGAACCTTGATAAGCGATTGGAGCAAGCAACAACAGGCGATGTGCACAAGTCTTCCTCAATGGACCTCTTCCGGATTCTGTCGCCATCAATGTTAAGTAAGATCACCACAGTGAACCTCCACTTATTAATTCATTTCATTGCTCTTTGCATAACTTTGCTGTCTTTCTGTAATACTTTAAGATGAAAATTTGAAGGGGGAGTTTGCAATTTTCCATAAAAATCAGTTCTTGTCATATCTTTTAAAAAGGTTAGTATGGCTTGACAGTAGTACATTTGTGAAAAATTAGTTAAGTAGCAAACTCCACCCGTAATTAGCCATCTCAGGCGATGGCCATGTCGCCAGTTTCTGTTAACTGAAAATGACATCAGAGTTGCTCAAGTCAATAAGCAAATATTCCTTTACAAATAAGGCAGTTTTCTGTGGGAAAATACTCACCCAAGTTTGCTGCTCCACCAATGCGTTGGCACTCCATTGTCACTGCTGGACGGTGGCGGTGCAGGTCCTACAGGACTGTTGGGGGCGCTCTCACTGCAGCCTCCTGAGCTGCGTTGCTTTGCGTTGGATTTATCTAGAAGCGGTTTAAGTACCAAGTAAGTCGTGGAGATGTATCAAGATACCTGCTTTTAAAAGTCGGAATGCATAGCCCAAGAAAAAAATGATTTGGGGACCTCCGTTTTTGCCAATAGTATTGATTATGTGTCATTCGTACACCTACTATATACTCATTGTAACACTGGCAGTGTTGTTTCCCTTATTGTCAACCTGACATGTCTGAACCTATACTTTTTAAAATCTCAAATGGTAGCAGATTCTAGAGCACATCGGGTTGATTTACACAACATCATAAGTGATAAAGCAACTAGGCATATTTTATATATATATATATATATATATATAAAATTTATGTTAAAGCTGTCACCTGCTTTCTTATTTGGGGGTTCTACAAACTTCAACGGCAATGTGCAAAATTAGTTGCTAATTAAATGGAATAAATTATTCCCTTTTCCTCATCTTGCGTATTACCTTTTTTGACTCTCGTTTTAATTGACAATTATTTGTTTAAATCACGTCATGACATACATCCTTGTTCTTGTTTCCACTACTCACTATCTGGGCTTAAACCGCCAGAACTCTGTCTGTCCTTGGAGGCAACTCGGGCTGACAGCGACTTCCCCAACTTCAAGGTGAAGGAATTCTTTCTTTGGGACAGCTGGAGTCTGGAAATCAGTTCTGAGGCCGAGAAGCGCCGCCGCTCGGGGTCTACTTGGCGACTGCGCGGTGTGCTGCCGCACCCCATTGCCATCATTGACATGTACTGACTATCTTGTCTCACACCCGGTTGTGAGTCCTCCAACATCGGCAGCCTTTCTGTTGGTAGATGGAGAATATCATCCTGAATGAGGTTCTGCGGGTCCGCTGTGGCATCTGTAGAAGAAGGGCTGGTTTTGGTGTCTTGTGAGGATTGTATGCTGAGGTCTTCCTCCAGGAAAGATGCGAAGGTTACAGGGAAGAGGAAGTCCGCTTCCAGGACGGGGCTGCTGAGAGAGTCGTCACTCAGGCTGTCTGGAGAATAAACCTGCATCTTACGGCCTGCAAACAACAACTCAGCATATAATAGAATGGACATCTCACATCTGTGAAACTTTAAAGTAAAGGCTCACTCACGGATGGACTTCTCTTTAAGCGAACCTTGGGATGTTCGCCTCTGCGGTTGGTAGGAGTCCATGTTGTGAAACTCTGGGCCCTCGGGTGAGGATGGAGAGCAAGGTATCTGGGAGTCCCAGGAGTCTCTGTTTGTGCAGAGGGATGACAGCGGGAAAGCCAAAGGGAGACTAAGCACACTTTGTGCTCCTCCATCGGGCTGTTCGAGTAAATACGTCCTATGACCATTTGGACATTTGATGGCGCCCATGCTGGTAAGACAAGAGTTTGACGTTAGCGGATCTTCCTCCTGGCCCGTTCCCTGGTAGCTTTTTGCCCAGTCAATTAGTTCACTCTGCGAGTGTTTAAAAGAGTCGAGGGCTGGAGCGTAGGTGGCACATTGTTGTTCATAAGGAGAGCCATGTCCATTTACTCGAGTGCTCGCTGGTGGCCGATGATCGATGAAGGTCAAAGTCTCCTGCTGGCACACGGCCACATGCTTGTGGTGACACGGGCGGGGCAGAGGCTCGTCGTGATGGGCGTCAGAGATCAGTGCCGCCGACTTGCCTGGGCCAGGGAGCCACATGCTGGGACCGTCTCCTCTGCAATGCAAAGTGTGATGGTGAGGCTGGAAATCAGGAAAAGGAGAGAGTCCATACCCAGGAAGCATGGCTACTCAAACACGCCGGATCTGAGGGAGAATGACAGGAAATAGAATATAATACAACATCGCACAAGGACTGTAACATGGGGAATTTTCTACTGTACCACCAACATAAATTATTTTGCTTCCAATTTTGTTTTTAAATGCAAATTTTCGGTCTATCCTTCTATTTTGCATCACTAACGAAAAACATTCAAATGTGTTTGCCTGCAGCGACACAGACAGGAAATGAGATTTCACCTTCCTTTTTGTGGAATTGCGTGTGTTGTCAATGCGCAGCTGTTGAAAAGCAACACCTGTTCTAGTGAAGAAAAGTAGGACAGTGCGCCTTATCTCTCTGACTGCCCACCCCACACACACAGCAGATAGGTAGTTAGCACAGATGGTTATGTGTTCCCAGACAAAGGGTGTCTTTATGCATGTTTGAGCCTGGCTGACACCCGAGATTCTGTGGGAAGCGCTCACGCTGATCCGCTCATATGGTGGCAGCCACCGGGCCCTTGACACAACTTCGATCTTATGCTGCATAATGTCACAAGGTGACTGAGAGGCCAGCAAACGTCACTTAAAGCCACATTCCAGGATACAATTCAAACAGTTTTTGTAAGCATGTCACAAAGCGGTCTCGAAAATCCCACAAAAGGCATCAAATGATCTTATTCCACCTGCGCATTCCTTGTGCTCCAAGTTTCCAATTACGCCAATAGAAATCCAATTCCTGAGATGTGTCATTTTCCCTGCCCTAGCACCAACAGGCTACCGTTTGGGGCTTTATGCCCTCTAATTTCACTTTGGCTGCTGTAGGGCACTGATATGTTCTGCTGCATGTGGCACAGCGGGGTGGTGCATGGCAACAAGTATCAACACTTAACACCAAAAGTGTAAATACAGTGAGCCATTTCCTCCTGTCACAGTCGGAAGAAACACATTGAAATGTAAAGGCCTCCACATTGCTTTGTGCTGCATTGCCCCAGTTGAAAACATGTTCAACTGCAGCCATGCTTAAAAAGTGCATTGGGTTCTGTCTTGAATGTTTGACTCCCTGTACTACTTTGACATAAAATCATAACCCGTGCTTTGGTTCCTCTCTCATATGGTCATACTATATTCAAGCATGTTTCTATTATAAACTAGAAAAACAAGGTTAAGGTTCAGACTTTTGGTCTTATTCGGAAAAATGCAGACAAATTAAATAAAAGGTGACATGAAAAAGTCTGAAATGAAACAAGTGAATATCAGTATTCCTGCTCAGTTGTAATTTTGTATTTTATTTTTTTGCCGGACTTAGACCCAATAGAGCGTGCATTTTACCTTCTGAAATGAAGACTAACGGGTGAAACCCCCAGAAACAAACAAGAACTTAAAGAGGCTGCAGTAAAGGCCTGGAAAAGCATTTCAAATGAAGAATGCCGAAGTCCGATGAAGTCAACGGGTTGCAGGCTTGACACAGTTATTGCAAATCAAAGGTTGTGCCACCAAAAATGAAATATTGCTCACTTTAATCATGTCATTGTTTTATATTTATGGACTTGTTTTTTTTACTTTTTTCGTGAACAAGATTAACTACTGGTATATAAAAAACCTTTACTATATACCATGTAAAACTAATCTAATCAAAAGGGAAATTAAAAATAATCAACTGAGATGACTGCCGTTATAACTGGGATGTGGCTGTGTTCAGAAGTAAACAATCACATTCAAACTCATCTTCAATGGGAGTCAGCACACAACTGCCACCATTTTAAGTGTCTCAGATTAACCCCAAAAGAAATTCAGATGTTCTAGTAGGCTATTCCTGACATTTTCTTGCTTTCTTGCAGAAACCTGAAGTCCAGCTAAAGAAAAACAGTCCCAAGTATAATAATACAACTATAATAATACTTGGGACTGATAATACTACCATCATGATTGTAACTATGGTGTTCGATTATATTTTTTGCCCTTTTAGTTCTTTTCTTTGGTGATGAGGAGTTTTTGTGTCAAACATACTGTACCTTTGACAAAGATATGTTTCTCATTGCTTTAGCAACCCCAGACATATTACGTCAGCGTTCTTTACCATCGACGGACCAGCCAGAACACACCACACTGGTTCGAGTCAGTCACAGTGGGGTGAGAGCTGCTCGTGCGTTTGCATAGTATGTGCGTGTGAGATCACAACAGCACACTAATTGCATTGTCAGTGTACACGCGCGCGCGCGCGCACACACACACACACACAAGTGCGTTTGCATAGTATGTGCGTGTGAGATCACAGCAGCACACTAATTGCATTGTCAGTGTACACGCGCAAACACACACACACACACACACACACAAGCCCGCACTTGTGGAATTTTTCCAGCGACAATGTGTATGTGTATGTACTTTGTTAGATTTTAATTATTTTTTTTAAACACTCAGGTTTCAGCCTGTACGTATTGCCATGTGAATCTAATCTGCTGAGATTCATCGGTGCTGGCTGATGCAACTTAAACTATATTAGCTGATTTGCTCGCCTTGGGTCCTGGGTTCAGTATAAAACAAACATACTACGGTGCTGGCTGATGCAACTTATTAGCTGATGTGCTCCCTTGGGTCCTGGGTTCAGTATAAAACAAACATACTGATATACTGTTCATTGAGCCGTCTCATCTTCTCTCCGAGCATCAATATAGCATTAATATTATCTGATTTTTGCAGCAGCGATAAAACAGCTGGAAGCCTCTTTTTTGATGAATTGTTCAGCACTTGCCAAACCACCATTAAAGCACTTTATTGCAAGTATGCACTTGCAATCAAAGCAAAAAAAAACAAAAAAAAAACCCATTGATCACAAATTGCATGCATCGTGTCTTAAGGCACCATTTGTGCATTTAACAATAAGCATCTCTGGTGATTATGACGTATTTTATTATAGTGGGTTATGTTTTTGTCATGTTATTATCTAAATGTTGATAAAGAACTGCGAGCCATTCTCTGACGTGATTGGATAGCAAAGGTCACCAACCTTGAAAAACGTCAATATGCAACACTTGGATTCTATAAATCTCTGCCAGTCTTCCTAGAAAATCAAGGGACACAGGCAGATTACGTCAGTTAAGCCCCCACGGAAATTCCCAGGTACCAAATGCATGGCTGCCACTGTCTAAAATCGATAATGAGAAATAATTACATTTTGTCATTATAAGCATTTTAAGACCAGACTTTTTCTTTTTGATGCGGTGATGGAGGGGTGAACTCAGGTCCCCTCCTGCGGTCGTAAAGACAGGTGTGGACCCTTGAGGAAACGGTTGCAAGGGGCTGGCTTACCCAATGTGGATAGATGGCGCAGCCTCAGGAAACATATTCATGACGGCCCAGACACCAGCAACATTCAGTCTGACAATCTGTCTGCCAATTACACAAGGCACACGTGAATGTGCATGCGCACGGGTGGAAGATGCAATTTGGTCAAGACTGCAAGGGACGGGACGTACAGTGAGGAGGTAGGGTGAGTTTGCGTTGTTTCCTTGCAGCAAGCCAACAGAAATTTATGACAGCCTGGAAAAAAAACAACCACCACCATCTCGCAAGTAAACACGAAGAACGTCTGGACCTTTGACCTCGACAAGACTGACTCTCCTTTTGCCCTAACAAGCTTGCTCTCATGTGACAAAAGCACAAAGAAGCTTTTGGCAAGCTTACGCCATTTCGATCATGACACATGGTGTCATAAAATCTTCAAGTCAGCATCCAGCCAAATATGTGCGCACATAGTGACATTTGAAAATGAGCCACTCCATGAACACCTCAATCTGACACATTGGCAAATAACATGAAAGAAGTTAAGCTGCCATTAAAATCCTAACATAATGCCATAAACAATGTTTTTTTTCTCCATTTGAACTGGATATTTTTAAAAAGTGTACACACCCCTGTTCAAATGCCAAGATCATCATTTCACTTTTTCCATCAACAATGTGATAAATAACCAGTACAAATGATTTTAAATATTTTGTTATTCTCGATGAAACAAGTAGTAAAATACAAACGACTGGTTGCACAAGTAAGCACACCTTCTTATAACTGCAATGTGGCTCTGTTCAGAATAAATTCATCACATTCAAACTCATGTTAAATAGAAATGAGCAGATTTTTTTTTCCTTTTTAAGCCGAACATATGCGTCAGCCCCATTGAAGTACTTGAAGTCCTTTTTTCAGATTGAATCACTGTAATGTGTGCTTCATGTCAGCATACTATTAGCATAAATGTCATACTATAAAACTCACCCCTGTTACTTCAATTTTAGGAATTTCAATTTTAGTACGATAAAACAATGAGAAAAAATTACTTGAGTCATTCAATATGTGTATTAGATTTAGAATTGGGGGGGTGAATTAAAGAGGACAGAAATGATCCAAGTTTAACTTGAGAGAGTTAGAGCAAACAAATGGCCCTTGCTGCCTTGGCTCAGTTTTAGAGTGTGTACATGTTGTTATTTTTTTTCTCCTTCCTCTCACATGAGCACTGGCACTTTGGACTCATCCCGTTTATTACGTGAACAGGATGGAACATGCTACCTTTTCAAACAAGAAACGCACCAAACAAATTGACCGTCCAAGAATTATTATCCTTGAAAGAAACTGACTGGATTAAAGACTTGGAAAAACACAAAGACACCGACCTGCTGTGTGTGTGTATGCGTGTGTGTGCGTGCGTGCGTGCGTGTGTGTGTGTATGTGTGTGTGTGTGTG